AACAATAACAATTTTCCCTACATACTATTTTTAAATTCAACTAAAACTGGAAATATATTAAACTCAATATATATGATTAATATTATTATTAAACAATTATAAATTGTGTATTTAAAAATAAGAATTTCATAGTATTAGTACAAATAGTTTTTTAAGCACCAAGATAAAGTACAAAAATAAAGAGATGAATATTCTAAATTGGAGTGTGGAAAAATAGTTTATATATGGAGGAACATATTCACTATATAAATAAATATAAATTCCATTAAAAAAAAACTTCACCTCTTTGCAAAGAAATGCATAAAACACACACATAATTGATTACATATGTATATAATATATGTATGCAATCACTTATTAATGCATGAATTTGGCATTGTTCAAGACTAGTCTTTGATCAATAAAATCGATACATATTTTACACTCCTAACACGTTGCTAAAAAAAATATAAAGTATTTTTAGGAGACTTCAAGATAAAGCATTGTATCTGAAAAAAAATTAACTTGGTCAAGTTAAACGTGGTAATGAGAGGCATCAAGCATGAGTGTTTGAGAATATCTCTAATTTAGTGACATCGAATGTATGAGAAGTGTCAAACATGATTAAAATAGTGACTTTTTGCTTAAATGATGTCGAACGTGAGTTTGATAGAGATTCTCTACCTAAAATGGGACTAGACGTGGGTTTTGCCACGTTAGGCATGCTTCACATAGAGGCTCTGCCTTTTCTACATGGGGCACAAGTGGTTTGGCATCAGTCGTGAGCAAGTTAGATGTTTTCTACCTCAATAGCGTTGGACACATGGAGAGAATGGCATTGGTCATGGTTTGTTTGATGAAATTTGGCTAAGTTTTAAAGATTTTATGAAGTTTAATGCTTTCTTACTTGTCATATAGTGTTGTATGATTATGATTAATTATGCATTGATCTAGGATAGTGTATAGTAAATGTTTGAGTTGATGAATTGTAGTTATTAAGTTGTTTAGGCATGTAGTGTTGTGATACGTGTCTTAATTGAGATACATAAAAATTAGAGGAAGGAAAAGTTTTCAGAAGTTTTTATATCCCATTGTGAGAACATCAGTTGTGGTGCTCCAATAGACCAAAGTTGAAAACCTTCAATGAGTAGTTGACTCCCGAATGGATTGGTGTCTTGAGTTGTCTCCTCTAAGTTTTGTGTGGAGCCAAATGTGATCCATGTTGAGCTATACATGTATAAAAAGACTAAATTTAGTAAGGTATGAAGTTAAGGGTTAAAATCTTTAATTAATTATTGAAAATGTGCATAGTATTTGAAGGGTAATCGATAAGTTAATTTTATGAGAAGCTTAATTATGCATGTTAAGGTTGTGATAGACTCACACTCAATTTGTCTTATACTGATAATAGTATTAGATTTTTATAGTTTAAGTGATAATTTGAGAAATCAATCTAACCATCGTGTCAGTCGTTGTTTCCAGTTTGATAACTAGTTGTTATTTCTTATTTTATACTAGCCGTTGTGATTTGGTAGGGTCAAGCTATTTAGGATTCTAGACTATTCATTGTTGTTATAAGAGATTTTCATTAGTTGTTGTACACGACAACGCAACCGTGGTTCAGTTGATTAACAATTATTATTAGTTATTTAATAATTGTTTAGTTGTTAGTTGGTTCTATGTTGTGCAAGTTGTTTATCATCTATACTTAGTTATTTATATGATGATTAATTGTTGGTTGATATTATTCAGTTGTATCTTTAAATCATTGGTGAATGATTTCTACAGAGATTTTACTTGAGTTAACTATTTTGTTCAATTGTTTATATTGATTATTTTACACACTGACTATTTCTTTTCTCGTGGTTAGATTACAATGATCATATTTAGTATAATAGTAGGACAAAACTAGCAAAATAACTTGGTTGATTGGTGGAAGTTATGCTAATGATGACTTAATTTTGATAATACTAATATAATGTAACAAGTTTATTGTACAAATGTTTGATGAACAATTGTGGCTATTTTGTTTAAATTAATTTATCTCAATCATTAAAAGTACTATAGTATATTTAAAGCTAAAAAAATTATTCGTTTTATTCTTACATAAAATAAACATCTCCAATTATAAATTGTTTTTTCTAATGTTTATTTTTATTAATTATTGGGAGAAAAACAATATTTTATGTCTTTATATATTTGTTTAAAATATAAAATTAAATAAAATAATAAAAGTTATACTAATATTTTATAATTAGAAGGTAGGTTATTTGGAGTAATGATAAGAATAAAATGAATTTATAAGTTATGCACATCAAAAGAACAAATCATTTTTATGTATTATAAATATTTTAGTACGTGTATTTTATAAAATAAATATTTATTATATAATAAAAAATTATAATAAAATTAAATATATAAATAAATATTATATTTAAATTTATAAATTATATTTTATATTTAAGATAAATAATTTATATCTTTTAATTTATTTTAGCCATATGCATTAATTATTATATATAAAAATAATGATAAATGATTAAAGCTAATTTATATGATAAAAGACCTATCTAATGATAATAAGTGCAACCTAAAAGACATTAATATAAAAGATAAGTTATACAAGATAAATAGTTAAATACTCCAAAAGATAATAACTAATATGGAAATAAAGACATGAAAGGCGAAACAACCTTATAATGGGTAGACACATAACTAAATTTTTACCCATTATTATACACTCGTACTTTGACTAAGACTAATCTATACAATTTCTTTTTGAATTTAACCTTAAAATTTTAAAAGAGGAAGTATTAGCGAATATTCGCTTTGGCTAGAAAGTCAAATAAGTTTTATCTATAGTATTCATTGCTTGTATATTAAATTAATTAAATTTTTCATCTTTGCTTATCTCCATTTGATTTAAATAAAATATTCCAATTGACTTCTAAAACAAAATGATTACGAATGTTTTTTATTTAGTAACGAGCCTACTTTTTTTTTATAACTTATTATAAACCTTATATTTTAAAGTTTTTTTTTTTTTTAATTCATTTGAAGCCTTTTGAAATGACGGCATACGATCAAGACAAAAGAAAAACAAAACGATGTAGATACTATCATAGGATGAGATGCGGGTTTTTCTTTAACATTATCTTTTATTAGTTTTTATTTTGTTTTGTTTCATCGGTTAAATTAGATAATAACTTCCCGTCACTCATTTTATTTAGTGTGAATATTTATTTAGTAAATATTTATAAAAATTTTATGTATTTACGAGTATCCTAGGATAATAAAAAAACAAGAAATCAAATAAATTTAAAAGTATATTTGTATTAAAAATAATTTTGTAATATATATACCAAAAACAAATAATTATGACACATATATTTATCATAAAAATAAATTAAACTAAATTATTTATATTAATTTAAATTATTAAAAATATTTTTAAGATATCCGTAAGTATGAATAGATTATTATTCATCTTCGTCCTATTATTAAATGAAAACGCATTTAATTATCCATAAAAAGTTATTCACAAATATATGCAAATATGAGTTTTTTGTCATCTCTAAGTTGAGGGTGTATTAAGAAATTTAATTAATATTTTATATTTTATTTGTTAAAATATAATTAATATTTTTTATTTTATTAAAGTCATTCTGAAATTTCTTAATATATATATTTTTTATTTTTTATATTAATTATACTCCTTTTATATTTTTTACTTCACAATAAATAATTAAGAATATAATAAAAAATCAATTCTTTATTAATATTTTTAAATGAGATTTAAAATAAAGATAATTTTTTTTAAACCATCAAACAAAATGAAATACATATATTGAACAAAATGAAATAGAAAGTAAATTATATTAAAAGTTACAAAATTATGAGGAATTTGTTAAATAGGATTGAATTCATAAAATTATAATTTTTTTTTAATAAATTTTAACTAATAAAAAATGTATTTACTATATATATATATTAACATATTTTTTATAAATTAATATAAAAACATATCTAAACGAATGTGTTAATAATTAATTAAACA